AGTGAATGAATGGATAAAGAAAATGTGGTATACACATACAACGGAATATTAGTCATCCTTTAAAAGGAATATTGCATTATTCAATACGCAATCACACGGATGAACCTCAAGAATATTATGCTAAGTGAAATAAGCCAGTCCTAGAAAGACAAATACTGCGTGAGTCCACCTATATGAGTTCTCTAAAGTAGACAAATTCAAAGCATCGAAGACTGGAATGGTGGTTGCCAGGGGCTGGTGGGGAGGGGGTGATAGGAAATTGCTAACCAACAAGCATAAAGTTTCCATCAAGCAAGATGAGAAACCTCTAGATATCTTCTGTACAACAATGTACCCCTACTGAACAACATATATTGTGCACTTAAAAATTTAAGGGGTAGGTCTCAGGTTAAGTGTTCTTTCTACAATGTAATTAAATTTAATTTTTTTTAAAGAAAAAATTGGGAAAGGAAAAAAAAAAAAAACTTCACAAATCACTTCCATTGTGCCCTGCAGAAGGGCAAATGGGTGCTTTGTTCCTCCCTTAATGGCTGAAGCTTAGAGACAAAATGTTCTCCTTCTCCCTGAACATCACCCCATCACCACCATCTTCTTTCCTATGATGCTCCTTGAACAAAGAAAATAGAAAAGTGAGTCTCTCATCAAGAGTCTTCCCCAGTGATGCTAACAGAAAATCCAAAGCTGGGAACAGTTAGGAAGAGAAATGGCAAACCCTTGAAATTATTTTCAAAATATCTCAGTAGCCCAAACCCAAGGATTTCTTTCATATGTCTATCCCCAGTTATCATCTCACCTATAAAAGGGAGTTAATTACATTATTGGGATTTAAAGCCATTAAGTAAACTAAAGTCAAGTACTGGGTTGCTGAATTTTATTTCGGACTACTGAGTTTTATATCAATGTTGAAAGAACAGGACAGGAAAGATTCTAAAGAGACCGACTAAAACAGCAATGCAAGCTGGTGGCACTCTGCCTGGAGAATTCCTGGAGATTCCAGAACTTCCAGATGCAAAAAACAGGGAATAATAAAAGGGTTGATCAGTCAGAGGCCAGAAGCCTTCGAATTTGAATGCGGTAGACCAGTCATTCTCAAAAATCAGTATTCATAATTATCGCCTGAGAAGCTCTCAAAAATGCAGATTCCTAGGCCTACTCCCAGTGATTCTGACGTAGGAGCTCTGGTGTGAGGCCCAAGAATCCACATTTTAATAAACATCTCGGTTATCTCTGCCCAGGTGGTCCAGGTCCACACTTTGACCAGCACCAACAGCCTTTCCTACAAAGTCACATGTAGGTGCTTTGCTGTAGGGAATGAACACTTTCCCTTTGGCAAGAGGTTGAAAGGGAAGAAACAGAACTTTAATCCTGAAGCTGGGTAAACTTTCAGGATAATTAATAGAGATTGGTTACTTGCTGCAAAATGAAGTATTCATCTACACACACACCATGGATTGGGTAAAAAATAAATTATGTTCAGATGATTTCAATATTTCTCTGAGATGGAATAAATTCAAGGGCTGAGTGAAAGGTAACAAGCAAACTATCTATCACCTGAAGTTAGCAGCTAAGATAATATTTCAACCACCCACCTTGAAAGGGAAGCTTGGACTGAGAACAGAGCAGGACAACTATATAGGAATATACACCAGGAATGGTTAAATACAATCACATCTGAAAAATAGCTACAACTACTCCACAGAAACCCGGAAAGAGGTGGTGGGGTCCAAGGTGGCCTCATATTTTCATGAATAACTCGAAAGACGGAGTGGAGATTATGCAAATCAATCCATGGACAATACAAAAATGGCAGGGATTGTGAATCTGTGGTGAATTAAATTTAACTACTGGGCAATGTCTTTAAATTTGCCTTTATTGAATCTTGCATATTGAAGTCACATATTATTGTATCTCTTTATGGAGACTCAATAGGGCCGAATACAGAGTGATTTATGGAAGCAGGAATAATCAAATGTAGAAGTAGAAAAGAGCACACACCTGGAGAGGCATTGGCCCGGGGATCAGGACAGGCACCGGGTGGGAAGTGTTTGAGATGGTACACAGTGCAATGGGGTGGCCAATTACTTCTATTCTCTACAGATGTGGGTGGTGTTAAAAGCCGACGTGTAAAATAAACAAGGAAATGTGTCTGTTACTCTTTGAACCACTTGGCCTGGGTGCTACTTCCAATGAAAGTGCTGAGCTTAAAATAAACCTGGAAGAGAATTCTGAGCTGGCCATCGCAGAAATTATGGGATGCGTCCCTAGGTAAACCAGGAATACAAGGGGATGTCATGAGGGCCTCCAGCATAGACGAAATCCTGAAGGTGCCTATTTGTTGGGAAAAGATGCACAAAAGCTAAGCGGGCCTGTAGGAGAGAAAAATTTCAGCTCCTATTAAGGAAAAAACAATCATTCAAAGCACAGTTGGAATCATGGAAGAAAGGGCAGCTTATGGTAACACCATCCCTGGGGACATTCAAGGAGTTGACGAGACACCTCTCTACTTAGGATGCATTAGAGATTATTAAAAGCATTCCTTGCTCAGCTGGGGTGGGGTGGGAGGTGGGCCTTGTGACCTCTCCAAAGGTCATTCGTATCCCAAAGGATCACATGTCTGAAGGGCACCAGATAAAAATAAAGTCTATTAATCACTGAGCTGCCACACAATTTCCTAAGAGAGCCAGGATAGAGATGGGCGTTCCACGGTGGACCTTGTCCCGCCGAGGGAGGAAAAAGCAGGCAGCGCCTGTGCAGGCAGAGCCAAGACATCAGCCCCTGAGACTTCCAGAAAGCTGCCACCAGGCCTGCAATCAGGCCTCCCAAGCTCCACAGGGTAAACAGGAGGAGACACAGAGCCCGTGGGGAGGGGAACAGGAAACAGCACATGGCACTGAGAGCCCTAAACAAAGCCACAGGAGCTCGGGGGCGAGGGGGTGAGCCAGGCCAGACAGGGACACCCACGAGGGCACTGCGTGGATTTAATACTAAGGAGGCAAAGGCAGGGAAGACAGGAACTGAGGGGAGGGTGGAGAAGGGCGCACGGGTGTGTCTGGGATTATTTCCGGCTGAGAACCCAATGAAAGCTGGAGAGAGAGCGTGAAAGGTAATGCCACTATCTGTGGTAGCAGAAAACCACCTAAGAAAATACAGCTTTTTGAAAGAGGAATGCAGTGGCAATGCCCAGTTCCAAAGCAGCTCTTGGCCTTCTTGATAGCTGGGCTGCTCTGGCCAGACACAGCCGGAAAGCCTGCCCCCTGGGGGTGTGAAGGACCCTTCCCAGCCCAGAATCAGTCTTCCGAGGGCTAGCACGCTTGGGCTTTTATACATCAGAACAAAACTGAACCCCATCCAGGAAGCAAGACCCAGGCGGAAGCAGGCACCTCCTGGTATTGCCGAGAGACATCAGGCCCATGCCCTGCCCCCTCCTCGTGCTGAACCGGCCTCGGCTTGGGGTGGAGATGTTACCTGCAGGAGTCGCCTCAGGAGTGTCATCTGCATGGTGTATTAAGCACCCAGGTGGGGGTCATGGAGTTTGAGCTCTTCTAGCAAAAGGCTCTCCAACCAGCTGTCACCCCACCGGGCACAGAACAACTTTTCGAAATCAAAAGAGGCCAGTGAAGAGGGAGGAAAAGGGCACCACCCCCGATGTACTCCCTGTGCCCCATCTTCCCCTGGGTCTCTCCCACTTTCACAGAGACTGCAGACACTGGCAAGACGGGCAGGACGCCCGAGGAACCACTGTGCCCGGGGCCCTGCCTCAGCGGTCCCGCTGCCATCCTCACTGCAGCCCCTTCTCGCCCACGGCGGAGCTCTGCTTCCTCAGAGAGGAGAAGGTGGGAAGGGAAGATGGTCAGGGAGAGAGGTTTCGAGGGCTGCCCTTGCCATGGAGCGAGCAGATGGCACCCGATATGGTGAGAAGATAACTAGGGAGAGGATTTTTTTTTTTTTTTTTTTTTTTTGGCTGCACCACACGGCATGCAGGATCTTAGTTCCCCGACCAGGGATTGAACCCAGGCCCCCTGTCGTGGAAGCGTGGAGTCTTAACCACTGGACCACCAGGGAAGTCCCTAAGGCAAGGCTTTTAAATCCACCCCCCAGGGGCTTCCCTGGTGGCGCAGTGGTTGAGAGTCCGCCTGCCGATGCAGGGGACACGGGCTCGTGCCTTGGTCCGGGAAGATCCCATATGCCGCGGAGCGGCTGGGCCCGTGAACCATGGATGCTGAGTCTGCGCATCCGGAGCCTGTGCTCCGCAACGGGAGAGGCCACAACAGTGAGAGGCCGCTTGCCGGGGAAAAAAAAAAAATCCACCCCCCAGTGCTCTGATAGGTGAGAAAGACAAAAACTCTCTCAAGCTGACAGCAATCCCTCGGAAAGCTGCAGGTCCCTGGAGGTCCTCCCGCTGCCACCGCCCCCGCTGCTCTGCCCCTTGGCCCCTCCCCATCTCTGTCTGCAGACCCTAAACCCAGGAGCCAGGCAGTTGCTTGTCCAAAGATGTTTCAGAAGCAAGCAAGAGAAGCTGGAGATGGATCGAGGGCCATTTATTAAACTAAGTCATGGTCAGAGAAAGATTCATAACCTGCCCCACCTAGGACAGGAGAGCGAGAAAGAGAAAGGAAGTTAAAGGGAAACAAATGAAAAGCCACAGGAGCCAAGTACCTTTGTTGGAGGATTTTGAGTTATGCTTTTGTTTGAATTCTCTGAAACAGAGAAAGAAATAGAGGATGAACCTTAAGGAGACAGAGAGTGAAAGAGAGAGAGCCAGAAGAAAGCCACGAAGGAGGGCGCTGCAGGGAGAGGAGCACAGGGCGGGGAGGCCTCCGGGCTTGCTTCTCCTTCCTGCAAGCAACACCAGGGCCTGGAGCAGCAACGAGGGGAGGCCAGGGCGTGACTGTGGTGAGGCAGCAGCAGGCAGGCCCGAGAGCAGAAGCCAGCGAGCCTGAGGCTGGGGCGGCACAGGAAGCATGGGGCCGGGGCAGGAAGGCAGCGTCTGCCATACTCACTATCACAGACGTAAGGTTTGTCGTGGTCTTCCTGAGAGGCGGCGTCGTGCCTCCTTCTGCCACCTGTAGAGCCGCGAGCCTGGGGAGACACGGGAATATTGGCATGCTTGTTATGCTGACAATCACTACGGTTCCTGAGCACGTTTTCTGTGAGGCCCTGAGCGCTTCACCCATATCTCCTCATTCAACTTTATACTACATTTGTAGTCTCTCATATACCAACCCCATTTTACAGGCCAGGAAACTGAGGCCCAGAGATGCTAGGTAACCTACCCAAATGACTCAGCTACTCACCCGTATCACTTCATTGAATCCTCACAACTCCAAGAAGCAGGTGCTACTATTATCTCCATTTTGCAGATTTAGGAGACTGAGGCAACAGAGGGGTTAGGTAGCTTCCCCAAGGTCACTTGCTCACTAAGTGCAGAGCCAGGAGGCAAACTCAGGACAGTCTGACTGCAAAGCCTTGAGCAGTCAGAATTCCCATCCTCTGCTGTTGCCCCTAGGATCTCTTCCTCCAACTCCTTAGCCAGCTTCGCTGAAACCACATGTGGGTGCCAACCCAGCTCCCCTCAGCTGCCCAGATAATGGGCGAATTAGAGCAAGTAGCGTAAATGCAGCTATCACCCCAGACTCCTGTGTTCACGCTCCCCTCCAGCTCAAGTCTCTCAAGAGGCAGCCAGGGCTTCCCTGGTGGCGCAGTGGTTAAGAATCCGCCTGCCAACGCGGGGGACAGGTTCGAGCACTGGTCCGGGAAGATCCCACGTGCCTCGGAGCAGCTAAGCCCGTGAGCCACAACTACTGAGCCCGCGTGCCTAGAGCCCATGTTCCGCAACAAGAGAAGCCACCGCAGTGAGAAGTCCAGGCACCGCAACGAAGAGTAGCCCCCGCTCGCCGCAACTAGAGAAAGCCTGCGTGCAGCAACAAAGACCCAACAGAGCCAAAAATAAAATAAATAAAATAATTTTTTTAAAAAGATGAGATAGACCAGAAAATGCTTTAAAAACAAAAAGAGGCAGCCAGGCCTAGCATCGGGGCGTGAGCTCCCCTCCCCCCTGCTCAGCCTACTCCATAGGGCAAGCTTCCGCTGAGGCCCCCCTGTGTGGTCTGCCTCGGGGCTCCAGCCAGTGGCAAGAGCCCTTGACACCTCACACTCTCCTGGGGCTGGACTCTTGAGACCCCCACCCTGTGTGCATCTCCACCAGCATCATCCGGCGTGAGGGTGGGATGGGCTCTACCTCCAAGGATAGACAAGAGCAGCCAGAGAGGGAGCTGGCGGCTGGGCAGCCCCAGGACAGTGGCTACAAGAACATGGCAAGGTTTATTTTTAGACCTTTGTAAGTCCCACACCGGTCACATGGGTAGCACCCTAGCCTCCTCCAGGTCATTCTCTGGTAATGAGTAGCAGTAAACTCCCAACCAAGGAAAGGGCCTGCTGGGGTCTTTGGGGACAGAGAAGAAGGTGCAGCAGATGAGAAATAAAACATGGCAACACCTGGTGTGCAGGGGAAATGGGGCAGTCCCAGGGGCCTGGTCTGGAAAAGTGAGCCCCAGGGGTACTTCATGGTCAAAAGGCCTTGAGTTGCTCACACACACACACACACAGTTTCCCTGGGGATGTTACAGTGGAAAGGCCTGTACCCCAGCCCTACGGGGGCTCACACTCTCCCCAAACACACACCCTTCACAATCAACACCACCTGCCAAGCTACCAAGCCCACCACCTCCTCCGCTGTCTCTTTCCAAAACAAATTACAAAGTTCCACCTCCCTCCTTCCCTCCCCTCCAGGGCACTTCCCCTCCTAGCCTCCCCGCCCCCCACCCCTGCACACGCACCAGCCCGCAGTCCCCTCCTCTCGCCCTCATTACTCAGAGTTGACCCCAAGAGGGAGCTGGGCGGCACTGGCAGTCACCCCGAGGCACTGACAGGCCTCCCCGCCTGCCCACGTTGAGGGTGGTCACCCTCAGCTGCCCGTGCCCCGCCCCCAGCCCCCCTTGGAGAAGCCGGGGACAGCTTGACGTGTGCCGCCCGCAGCCCTGTCACAGGCGCCTGGGAGCAGGTGAAAGCAAGTCAAGCAGAATGACAGAGGCAACAGCAGACTCAGGGAGGAGGTTCTGGGAGACTAAAAATACCACCCAGGAGAAGAGGAGGAGAGCTGGAGCTGGGAGCAGCCAGCAGGAAGCAGGGGCCCTGCCGAGAGCCAGGGTTTAATTGCGCTCTGCAGGGCTGCTGGCAGGGTGGCTGCTGCTCCCGCTTTCTCCCTGCACCTCAGTTTCCCCAACTGCAAAATGGGGATTGTGGCTATAGGGCATTGAGGGGACAGGCAAGGGACGCCTCCTGTGGTTGGAGCACACTTCTAGTCTCCTGGAATGTTTCAAGCTTGGAAACTCGGAATCCTACTTGTCTTGCTCAAATGTCACCTCCTCAGAGAAGCCCTCCTGACCAATGCGTGTTCACTCATCCCCTCCGTCGGTCTCTTACCCCTACCCTGCTTCATGTCATAGCACATAGCATTGTCTGACATTATATTATATGTGTGTTGGTGTACTTGTTGGTTTTCCATCTCCCCCACATAAGGGTGGAAAACGTCTATTTGGGTGACCATTACGCTTGGAACCTGGCACAGGGCCAGTCACCTAAGCAGCACTTAATAAATGTTTGCTGCATAAATGAATCAATCCATCAGTCGGCTGGTCAGTGAGTTAATCATCTTTGGTTCTTCTTCTTCATTCTCTGTATCCAAGTGCTATTGTGTCTTCCTTCAAAAGCCATCTTAGGCTTTGCATTTCCCTTCTATTCCACATCTTAATCCAGGAGCTCATCAATTAACCCCTGAACTGCTCAAAGAACCCGCCAGCTGGGGTTCTACCTCTGCGTTGCCCTACCCGATCCATCCTGCGTGAGTCTCAGACCAATTAGACAAAAGGAGTGAAGGACGGGAGCCCATGGTCATCCATTCGTTCACTGCCATCCAAAGCCCACTGACATATCCACTGACGACCTAGTGCCAGTCCTACCAGGATCACCTCATGCTGATGCTATGTCCAAGTCTTTGTTTTGATTGATCCCGGTCATGGATCAGCCTCTACTCTGCCCAACCACATCTGGTCCATGCTTTAGCCTTGCTAACATGCCACACCTCCAAGAATCTTCCTCTTGCCACACTGAGGAGTAAAGCATCAGCTTTAAATTCAGACAGACATAGGTTTAAACACTAGCATGTGTTTTTGGACAAGTTACTTCTCTAAGCATTAGTTTTCTCAGCTGTAAAATGGGCATAGCAACATCTTTATTGCAGAGTTGTAGTGCTAATAAGGGGGTATGAAACCACAGGGGACAGAACTAGGTCTACAGGAAGTACTCAATAAATTATTTCCCCTCCTTGCCCAGTTGATTGCTCTTTCCTCTGAACTCTTATTGCATTTGGTAAGTGCACGGTCAGAAGCCTGCTGCTTTCTAATTGTATCATGACTATTAGCATTTTCTCCTCAATTTAATTCCAAGGTCCTCGAGGGCAAAGATGACACTTCGTACTTTATTATGAACCCGTGACATTTAGCACTATGCTGGGCACACAGCATCCAAAGCTCTTTCACATGTATTAGCTCAGTTAATTCCTACAACACCATCTGAGTTTAACCAAGTAATATTATTCCCATTTGGCACTTGATGAAACAGGTTCTGAGAGGGTTCATGATTTGCCCATAGTCACAGAGCCAGTAGAAGGCGGAGGCCCAGGTTTCCAGAATCTGTTACAGAAAACTTTGAAGCTGATGTCCAAAAGAAACCATCCTCCCTCTCTGAGAACTACTCACCTGACTCCACTCCTCCCCATTCCACCTCCCCATTCACACATTGGTGGGCCATGGCTGCCATGACTGCACCACACAGCCCTGCCCTACTGGCTGCCGTTGATTGGCTGGCTCAGGAATAGACATGTGACCCAAGCTGGGCCAACCAGATTCTACCCACAAGGTACTCAGAATTGGGAAACAGTGACTCTAGTTAGTACAGGTCACTTGGGGGACCCATAAATTCAGGAACTATGGGGCCACTTGCACAGAGAAGCAGGAGAGGCAATCCTGCAAGAGAAGAATAAAGGAAGGAGAAGTAGAGGCCAGAGCTACCTGGGTTCCTTACTCCTTCCCAATCCTAAATCCCCACCACCTTCTTGTCCTTCCTGAATCTTCAAAAATTGCTCAAATATGGGACAATGGCTCAGCAGCTTTTCAAATACTTCCCACTTTTGCTTAAGCTTAAGTTGAGTTTCCTACAACTAAAAGACTCTCAACTCGGACAGACTCAGTCCCGAGCAGAGAGCTAGTCGCTCTGTATCTGTTATTCTCAAATAGTGGTCAAGGGATCCTTGGAGGTCCCTGAGACCCTTTCAGGGAGTCTCCAGTGTCAAAACTATTTTTGTAATAGTACTAAAATGTCATTTGAAAGTTTTCACTCTCGCAAGTGCACAGTGGAGCTTTCTAGCGGCTACACGACACAATGATGTCGTCACTCTGTGTGCATGTGTATTCTTAAATTTAACATTTTTCCTGTTTTGATTTCTAATATGGGAATTATCACTAGTTATAACCCACCAGAACAATAGCTTTTGGGGCTCTCAGTAATTTGTAAGTAAAGAATCCCTGAGACCAAAAAAAAATTGAGAACCACTGCTCTATACTCTTGCCATCTAAAGTGAGGTGCTCAGACCAGCAGCACTGCCATCTCCTGGGATCTTGTTAACCAAGCAAGATCTCAGTCCCCACCCACCAAACCTACTGCATCAGAATTTGCAGCTGAGCAAGATCACCAGGTGCTTTGTATGCACATTAAAGTTTGAAAGTACTGGACTACACCACAGTGCATCATAAACACCTACTGATTGGTAATACTCACATGGATGACTCACAGGAATTCCATGAACTTTAAAGAGCTTTGATTTGTTGGGCTAAAGTGACCACAGATACAATTATTCATTGTTGGGCCTCAATTTCTCTCACCCCTCAGGGAATCTCTATTGTCAAGGTTCTGAGATTTGTTCCCTTTGCTTGCACCCTCCTAATAATATCTAGCCTTTATTAAGCACTCAAAATTGGCTGTGTACTATTACCTCAATTTTAATGATGAGGAAACTGAGACCCAGCCTACTTATTCAATTTGGTCAGGGTCACAGAGGTTACCTGAACCACCCAAAGTCTAGTAAGTGGTAGAGCTGGGATTTGAACTCACGGTTCAAACAAAGCAGAGACAGTTCTTGTCATCACTACCTTAGCCCTGACTTCCTCAATGAGCACACAGAGCACCTGGGAGTCCTGTTAAACTGCAGACTCTAATTCAGCCCACCTAGGGTGGAGTCTGGGGGGGATCTGCATTTCTAACAAGCTCCCAGGTGACGCTGATGCTGCGGCCCAAGGGCCGCATACTGAGATGTACAGCCTCAGCCTCAGGCCTCAGTCCCGACAACAGAAATGGAGTGACTGTCCTCCAGGAGCCAGTGGCAGCTTGAATACACCTTAAAGGGTAGCTTCATTGAGCCTGTGGGTTAAGCAGCTCCATACCTTATTCCAGCACAGGTAGGCTCACCTGCACTTTCCAGGTCCTCCCATGGCTCCCACCATGGATGTCTACAATGTCACTGCACAATGTAGAGCCGTTTGACTGCCCCTTAGCCAGCCTTGGGTGGGCCCAGAGCTAGTCTAGGCCCCATCCAACCCCCTCACTGTGTTCAGGCCTTTGTTCAACTCCCATAAATCTGAAATATGACTTTCTGTTCTTTTTCCATCATTCAATCATTCATTCAACAAAATGGTCAGTGGTCACATGCTGGGCACTGGGCCACATGTGACCCAGTAGAAAAAGCACAGACCTGTGTTCAAGTCCTAGCTTCTTCCTTACTAGGTTGGATGTCCTTGAACAAGTTCCTTAACCTCTCTAGGAGTAATAATACCCACGTATGAGAATAAAAGAAGCAGTGCTGTCCAAGAGAAATATAATGGGGGTCACGTGTCATTTTAAATTTTCCAGTAGCCACGTTTTTAAAAAAGAGTAAAAACAGAAGCAGATGCAATTAATTTTAGTAATACATTTTATTTAATCCAATCTAGCCAAAGTATTACCATTTCAATATGTAATCAGTATAAAAATATTAATGAAGTGTTCACCATTCTTTTCCTACTATATCTTTGAAATATGGTGAATATTTTACACCTACACCACATTTCAATTTGAATTAGCAACATGTCAAGTGCTTGGTAGCCACCCACATGTGGCCAGCGGCTGCTGTAAAGAACAGTGCAGAAATAGAGAATGCAGTATAAAGGACCTATCGTCACTATCGATATCGTGTTTATGATATCGCTATCGACCTGTTGTGTTTATGATGCACTGTGGTGTAGTCCAGTAACGTAGCTCTTATTGTGAAGCGCTCATCACACTGCCTGATGTATAGGAAGTATACAGTAAGTACAAATGGCTGTTGCTGCTGCTTCTGCCGGTGTTCTTACAGAGAAGACACCCAATTCGTATTTGCCAACTACAAGTTCAACGCCTAGATTTCAGTTGGGAGTGGAGAAGATGTAGAGACGACCATTCTCCATCATCTACTCGAGTAAGTTTGGTTTGGGCTGAGACAAGGGTTGGAAGCAGGCCTGGAGGTACACAGCAATTGGAGTTCACAAAAGGCCCAGAAACTCCACATTCTAAAGCCTCCTTTAGAATGGAATAAGATATCCATTATTTTGTAACCCCCAAAGAAGGCATGGATCCAGGCAAGTTCATCAGGGGCCACTAAGATGATTAGGTGAAAAGGTGATGGGGCACTTTCTAAGGAGAGATCTGGCTGACAACACCCAAATCCACGGATCATTTTTACCACCACTGAAAGCAGAACGAGTGGACAGCACACACCTCCAGATGTGAAGCAATAAGAAGCACACATCACACCTAAGAGAGAGTCTAGCCTTACCAAAAAATATTTACACACACGCACAAATATCCCGAATCTAATCAAGTCTCTCATCAGACCACCAGTTTTCAGGAGATAAAGAGGATTGAGGGACACATTAATCACCACCAGTCTGCCAAATCTAGAATATGAGAAATTCCACAAGACCAACCACCCAAGTTCTTCAACAAATAAATGGCATGGAGAAAAAAAAAATATGTATGCGGTAGGGAGTAGCAAGGAAGAAGTATGTTATAGAATACAAGAGACCTAAGTTTCAAACAAACCAACTATAAAAAGGCATTTTTGAGAAAATCAGGGGGAAAGGATCAGGGACTGGATAGTAGATGTTAGAATCGTTATTTTTATTGGGTATGATAATGATACCTGTTAGAGATATACATTGAGGTATGTACAGGTTAAATGAAAAAATGTCTAGGGGCTTGCATTCAAATATTCCGCACACACACACAAACCCCACAAACATACAAACCAACCAAAAGTGAGAGTAAAGAAAAGATTAAACAAGAGTGTCAAAACATTGATCATGGCTGAAGCTGAGTTGTGACTCTATAAGGTGTGCAGCATCAGAGGACCACCCTGTCCGGACCGAGAAATTCCAGCTCCTGTCCAAGTCGGAGCATCTCAGCTCAGCATGGGCACTGCTAGGCCCCTTGCACCAGTCACCTAGGAACTTGCTTATAATACAGCTCTCCAGGCCCTACCCCAGACTTCCTAAATCAGAACTCCCGGGAGTGGGTCCTGCAAATTTGCATTTCGATAGGCTCTTGTGGTGTTTCTGATGTGTACTCAGACGCCAGAACCACGGGAATAGAGAGGCTTGCCACAATTATCACTGGACCCAGGCTCAGAGGGCATCCAGGACTAGTCCCTCGTCCACAGGAGGGGTAAGCATCCCGCCTAGAGCCTGAAGGAGCCAGACAGGCCTCAGAGAGTTAATTCTCCAGATGGGAAGCAACAGTTCATCCCCACAGGTCCCGCTGCATCTGGCTATTGTCAGATACTCCTGCAGAGCCCTGAAGGTAATCCCAGAAAACCCCTCTGGGCTTGAACGTGAGGACTCTGGAGGACCACCCCGAATGCCAGAGAGTACCGCTCAGGTTTCGCTCCCTCCCCTTAAGAGTCACCCTCATATTTTTATTCCTTCCACCACGGATTTCCCCTCTGCCATTCCCCAGGCTTCTGGCCTTTTCTTGTCACATTCCAGGCCCACACGCCTCCAAAGCCCCCGCCACACTGGCTTGGGAACCATCAGCTGCGGCCCCCATGCTTTCCCAGTTTGCTCCCACTCTCTGCCTAGTGAAACGTACCCCAAAGCAGGTGTCCTGACCCTGTCATTCTGGGGCAGCCCCAGGGACAGGACACTTTCCGCCTTATTCTATGACTGAGGAATGGGGACAGCGGTCACATTCCCCTCATCCTCCACCCTCACCCACACCTCAACCTCCACCTTCCCCAGACCCTCACCATCCCCTCGGGGCACCGTCTGCCTCTTCTCTCCCTCTTGCCAGCTCTAAACTCTTGCAGGCTATCACCTGAGAACCAGAATTCTTCTGGAGGTTTCCTCTCTGGGTGTCCTGCAAGGAAGACCATGGATACACCCTCTATCTAGCTGCAGTGGGATTTTGAACCTAGGGACCAGCTGTTTGCCAGGCTCCGGCCTCCCCGATCTCTTTCCTCCCTTCACGGCTTACCCGTCCTCTGGTCCGATTCTTCCGCTTGGGAATATCTTCTTCTAAATCCTCTTCTTCATTTCCTTCTTCTACATTTTCATCATTTTCCAAAACCCTCTGAAATGACAAGAAAATAGAAGCATTGAGAAATAAAATGCAAAGGAGAAAACCATCAGAGGGTAATTCGGAGGGTGTTCTGTTTTGGTGTGTTTTTTTTAACACAGTGAAGATGCTGCCATGGCTTGGGAAGCTAGGCCTCCAAAATGCTGGCCAGGAACTGGAGCTCTTGGCGGTACCAACTCTCTCTCCTGGGACCCGTCCAGCCAACTCCTCCTAGAACACCGACATTTTCAACTCTTTTTGCCCAAGAAATGTTTTCTAAAAAGAGAATACTCTGGTAGGGGTACCCTTCTACGTGGGCCCAAGATGTCTGGTCAAAACTTACTTTCATGTAATTTTCCTTTTGTTCCTAAAGGGCCACCTCAAATATATGAAAATATGTTTCTCCTTTCCCTGGCATTCTGGAATCCTGCCCTGTTTCATGAAAACAAGTAACTTCCTGTCCATCTGAATAGAATTTGACATGAATGTGTTATTCATAATCTTCCATTGTTATTTTTTTAAGAGTAATGGATTTTTGTTACAGCACATTACTTGTAATGGAGCTTAAAGATCATAACTTTAATTCTCTCTCTCCAACAGCCCCGTGAGTCACACTGCAGCAGAGAATCCAATTTCCATTTTACAGGTAAATAAACTGAGGCTGAAAACAGTTTTGACTGCTCAAGATCAGATAGCAGAATCCATGACTAAAGCAAGGTCAGGTTCATCAGCTCAGAGTTTCCCATTTCTCTCTCAGCCCTTGTGTCTGAGAATTCCAAGGCATATTGCAGTACTTCCTATAGGACCTGAGCACCTCACTTGCTTTGGCGTAGGGGAGGAAAGGGGAGGTAAGCTGCGTATCTCTAGGTTTAAGGGAGGGATAAGAGACTGTGGCAGAGGGCCCAGCCCCCCAGAGTAGAAGTGGGATAAGGGGAAGGGGAGCCCACGGATTCCATGTCAGGAGCCCTGGGGGCTTCTTTATAAGCTCACTGTGTGACCTTGGGTGAGTCATCATCGCTTCATGCCTCAGTTTCCCCAATTATAAAATAGGAACTCATTCATTCAATCAACAAACATTTGTCTAAGGCTGACTACATGGCAGGTACTGTGCTAGATAAGCCAAAAAATGGCTACAGTCCTGGCCCCAAGTGGACTCTATAGTCTAATGAAGGAAGGACAGATTCAATCAACACACATAACCATATAATTACAACTGCTATGAAAACAGTGACAGGCAAGTTCAAGGTGCTATGAGAGGTTGTTAGAAGGGACCTTTCCTAATCTGAGGTCAGGTAAGGCTTACCTGTGGAAGTGAACTAAGGAAGTTTAGATGTAAAGGATGGACAGAGACTAACCTTGGGAACAGGGACCAAAGGGAGGAGAGGAGGGAAAGTATTCTACTCAAAGGCAACAGCATGAGCAAACCCCCTGAAGCAGGGAGGGGAATATGGCTTGTCCAGAGAGCATGAAGAGGCCAATGTGACCAGAGCTCAGTGGCTCAGGAAGAGACTGGCCTAAGATGAAGCTAGAAAGGTGGGTGGGTACCAAGTTATACAGGACAACAGCATCCACCTATCCTTGTGGTAACAGTGGGACAATCACACAAGCCATGAAAAGACTTAGAAAGCGGGACTTCCCTCGTGGCGCAGTAGTTAAGAATCCGCCTGCCAATGCAGGGGACACAGGTTCAGTCCTTGGTCCAGGAAGATCCCACATGCCACAGAGCAACTAAGCCTGTGCGCCACAACTACTAAGCCTGCGCTCTAGAGCCCACGAGCCACAACTACTGAGCCCACGTGCCACAGCTACTGAAGCCCGTGCGCCTACAGCCCGTGCTCTGCAAAAAGAAAAGCCACTGCAATGATAAGCCCGCACCCTGCAACAAAGAGTAGCCCCTGCTCACAGCAACTAGAGAAAACCCACGCACAACAATGAAGACCCAACACAGACAAAAAATAAAAATTAATAAAATTGAAAAAAAAACCATTCATGCTGCTAAATAATTTTTTTAAAAAAGACTTAGAAAGCAGCATGCATGGTACTGACTTCTGGTATCACCATCACGGTTCCAGTGGCCTCCTGGACAATGCCCTGGGCCTGTCCTCAAAGCAGGAAGCCCAGGGGTGAGTTTCCAGTGACCTTCTCCCATTGCCTTCTTGTCAGAGAGTTCCATTCCCATCGCAGGGATCAGGATATTGCTAATCGCCAAATCTTCCCAAAGAACTCAAAATAGGTCTAGTAAATTCTTCTCTGGCTTCTCTACCAGGTTTATATGGGAAGCCATCAGCTGATAGCACTTAGGCTCTCTGGGCCAACCTTAGCCACCTAACAGAGAAGCAACGGCATCTGCCAGACACGACCTCTGGCCCACAGCTAGGAAACGCTGGCCCGGGTCCACAGCAAGCGTCCTAGCCTTCCTGCGCCTTGGCTTCCTGAACCGTAGGGGGGAACACTAGTGAGACGATGACAAGTCAGATGCTCTGCAGCCTTTGGTGAAAAGATGCAGCATAAATACAAGGTGTCGTTCTTACGACAACTGTTGCTGTTTGTACAGCCGTCTTGCAAACTCCCTGGGTGTTGAAGTCATTTAATCATGGTAAGTTCCAAGTGCCTCGAATTTAAAGATCATTGCCTCTGGCATCTCAGCGCAGTTCTGGTGCCGCTCTCATTTTTTATTATGAAGGTATTTATTACCCGCAATATGGACTCTGGGTTGGAAGGTGAAAGCTGGTAAAGGTAGCTGCACTAGTCCCTAGATGTGCCGCACAGCTTCAACATCCTGGAGAAAACTGACTTCTCCCTCTCTCTTCCCACTGGCTTCCCTGTGTCTCTAGAACCTCTGGTCCGAGCCCCAGGCCTCACATGTGACAGCAGCATTTCCTGTGTCTCTGCATTTCCTGTGTTTCTGCATTTCCTGCGACGTGGCCCTGACACCAGAAGCCTCTCTACACAACTCGGGAGAAGCCAGGAGTTCCTAACAAACAAAGCACGTATTCAGGGCTCAGGAAGCAGAGGGAGCATCCTGTATTAGGAATGAAGGGCAGGGGTGTCCAACTAGAGATGCAGCTCATCCCCCGTGACACACTTGCATTCCCTGTCCAAGGACATTATCTGGAAAATAAACACATTTTAAAACAACTTTGCTCCCTGTTACTCTAACCAGTCTTTACGGTGATGATAATGATCATTTGTGGCTGTGCTTTTTTAAAAAAGAAGGAATTCCTCTTTTTTTTTTTATTGTGTGTGTATCAGAGGAATTCCTCTTTAAAGATTCCATTATCTCCAGCTGGAAGAGTGCAAAATTCTGCTACTTCCCTCCTTGCACTGCTGGCCCTGCATCCAGTCTCCTTTCCATGCAGCATCCACAGGGGTCTTAAGGAAACACAAATTCACTGCCCTGGTTAAAATCCTCCAAATGGCTTCCTTTTTCACGTCCCATGAATCCAAGAGCCTCCTGCAGGTCTGGCCCTGCCCACCTCTCCAAGTGCCTCCCCGGCCCTTCCCTCCCTGGCACCCTGCTCCAGCCACACCAGCCTCCGTTCTTTGCACACAACGAGCTCAGAACTATCGCGATGCCTTCAAGAGCACTGTTCCTCTGCCCAGAAAGCCCTTCCCAGGTTCCTCACTTTACTGGCTCCTTCTCATCTCACAGGACCGGGGTATAGCCCTTGTCTCCCCTAGGATGCTACCTAGAATCCATCCCTCCTCTTATACTGAGCCTTCATACTCTGTTCTTTTCATGGCATTTATCCTGAAATGCAGTTACTTTACTTGTTTGTTTACTTGCTTTCTGTCTGTATGTCATGCTACAAAATAAGTATGAGCAGAGGGGACAGGTCTCTCTTGGTTTCCCTGTTACTCCAGAGCCCAGCACAATGCCTGCTCAGAGGAGGCACTCAATAAACTTTGATGGAATGAATGGAAAAATGAACAAAACAGTCCATTTGTTACATGTGCACTTTATTTTAATAATCAAAGCCAATAAAAACATGTAAACTCATCTGGCTTTTGGTCCTGGTTTCAGTTCCTAGCACAGCAGGTCGTAGGCCCATGCTTTGCATATAGTAGACATTCTGGTTACGTCGGGGAGGATGGTGGTGATGATGATTCGACAATGACAACCCGTATACTGGCCCGATGCTGCCTGAGAAGGACTCGAACCCACCGCCCGCTCGAAAAGGAAAGGGCTGCCTGTCTCTAGAGCATCAAGGCTTCTGGGCAATGGTTCTGTCCCACTCATTGACTCGGTCAAATTACCCCAACTGAGCAAAAATACTCTTAACAGGCAATACAGATGGGACAGACGGTGACTTCAAAGATCTAAAAGTCCAAAAATGGGGGATAATACATGAATAGCAAAAAAAAAAAAAAAAGAAGAAGAAGAAGAAAAAGAAAGTACTAGGTGCCCTAAATGCCAGCGGTAAAAAGAGAACTAGGGGGTGGGGGGTGATCAAGAAAGGCTTCATGGGGAAGGTGGTATCAGGGCTGAGCCTAATAGGTGGGTGGAATTTGTACACGTGGTGATGGAAGAAAAGGCATGCCAGATAAAGGGCACAGCATGACCAGAGGCACGGAGGGAAGGAGGCTGGAGAACAGAGGCAGTAAAGGAATCGTGGGAAATAAGCCTGAAAACTAGGTTAGGAGCGGAGAGAGGAGGCCCAAGAAGATCACACTCATCACTTTAGATTCATTTAGCGAGAAACAAAAGTGTTTTAGCCAAGTTTTTTAAACGAGGGCATGGCACAAGCAGCATTGTGTTTTGGGATGAAAGGTCAGCTGTCAAAGCAGGACATGATGGAGAGGGGACAGACTGGAGACGGGCAACTCACAGGAATCTGTTCACTCGTGCATCCACGCAATAAATGTTTATTGTGCACCTACTATGTGCAGGCACTGTTTAGGTCTTGAGATACAAAGGGGTGCAAGCAAGAGAGACAAAGATTCCTGCCCTTGAGGAGTTTACATTCTACTAGAAGAAAACAGAAAATAAACAATAGCATCATAAATCAGTAAATTATAAAGTATGTTAGATGCTGGTAAAACCTATGGGGAAAAAGAAAAGGAAAGCAGAGTAAGAGAATCGGGAGTGCTGCGGGGTAGAGAGGGCACAGGATGTGGTATTACATTCAGTGGTCAGGGTAAACTTCACAGAGAAGAAGAGACAGGAACCAAAACTTGGAAGAAGGTGAGGGTGAGAGCCCAGCATATGGGGAGAGGGCCGTGAGGCAGAGGAAGCAGCCAGAGCACAGCCGGAGGTGGAGCGCACCTGGTGTGTACGTGAGTAGCTGAGGGTCGGTGCGCCTGGAGCTGAGTCAGCCAGGAAGAGAGGAAGCAGCGAGTCAGAGAGAGGTGAGAGGGCCGCGACTTTTTCTCGGGAGAACAGGGGCCAGTGCAGGGTTTGAGCACGGGAAAGGCTCCCTCTCAGCCATGAGCAGGGGACTACTTAGAAAGCAATTGCAACCGTTCAGACAGGAGATGTGAGTGCCTCGGATCAGGGCAGCAGTGGTGGATGTGGTGAGAAGGGGCCACGCTCTGGATTTGTGTAGAGGGCACAGTGGACAGGATTTCTGATGAATGGATATTGGGTGTGAGAGAAAGACAGGGGTCGAAGACAACTCCAAGGTGTGTCAGACATATAAAGGTTTCAGTCAATAAGGATCTTTACTAGGGCTGTAGGTCTGACAAGTAGAGGAGGGAACAAATATAAGCCATGTTGTGACGACCAAACGGAAAAGACTGGACCATTCATCTGAACGCAGGAATGGCAGAGAAGGAGGCCACGTTCACTGACTCATTCAACACCTTTATTGAGACCAGACTCTGCTGAGCACGTGCAAGGCCCCGAGGGTACAACAGTGAACACGAAGGCACGGTCTCTGACTCGACGGAACCCACACACTGTGGTGCTGATGAAGCAAACCAAACATTTTACTGGTAGTCATTTAATTACAATGTTAATAAATTAATATGCAAATATTAGATTGGATATAAAATTAATAAATATGTAATCGTATAATATATGTATAACATAAAATATATAATTTTAATATAAAGTATTAGTGTAATACAAATGTAATTTAATTTTAATAATTTCATTATGTTTAATTATTAAAAACTGCGATTTCATATTTGTATTCATTAATATTACGAGCTTCTGTGCCAACCATTGGATTCAACAATGGGGACTCAAGACACATAAATGAGACACCATCAGAGCACACCGTTGTAATCCTGCGTGGTGACCCTGCGTGGTGGCAGCCTTAGCCATGCTGTGCACAGAGGGTGGTGAACACGTGGGGATGGAAGCCACCAACCTGCCTGGGGGATGACTTCTGAACTGGCCTTGAAGGACAGGTGGGTGGTGCTGGGGAAGGACAAGACAGCCGGTGAACCAGAGCTGATGAGGGTGTGTGAGGCAGGGGTGCGGTGGGGATCCCTGCGGGGGCTGGCTGCCCCGGACAACCGAGCTTTCCAAGCCTGGGCTGTGGCTGCTGGCTCCAGGGGGCGGGAAAGAGGATGCGGTCAGTTTCACTCACCACTGTGTCCCCAGGACCTCGCACGGTGCCTGACGCACAGTAGGCTCCAAAACTACGTTTTGAGTGGACTAACAGGGAGACCAAGGCCAGCTTCCCAGCTGTGGTGGGAAGTTGAGACGCAGCCCTGGCCCTTGAGAGAATGACCAGAGCTGGGGCTGGAGTTCCGGAAGCACGACGGTGATGCTTGGGGGCCACCCCCAACCCGTCCCGCAAGCACAGAAATACCTGTATTTCCTGGATGTTTTCCTCCTCCCTGGTGTCCACCTTCTTCTCAATCCCCTCGCCACGGAGCAAGGCTTCCAGGGTGGTACTTTCTGAGGTGAACCCATCTTTCTTCAGAGGCAGCTCCACTTCTGAAAAACAAGGACAGAAAAGCAGTGTCAGGCCACTGGACACAGGAGAGACAGGAGGGACAGGAAGGGTGGCCCTTGGGGGCATGCGGGAACCGCAGCCCCCGGCAAGGTGTGATCTCTCCTCCGGGACGAACAGGAACACTGGAGTTCAGCTTTTCCATCTCCAGTTCACAGTCCCAGAGCCAGAGCCCAGCCCTGCCTGCTCCCTCAGAGACGGCGGAGACAGGGCAGAAGGGGCGCCAGAAGCACACGGGGTCAGACAGCCTGCGTCTCTGTCCTGCTTCTGCCACCCTCCGGCTCTGTGACTTTGGGCGAGGCGCTCAAGGATCCCCGAGCCCTTTTGCACATCTACAAAGTGAGGGCGACAATGCCCAGCACCCCACCAGGCCATTTTGTGGAGCATAAATGTGTTCCTTTACATTCAAGCGCTTTGAAAACTCTAAAGCAGTGCACCAATGTCGGCCTCAAGTTTTATTATCTTCTCCCTCTATGCCAACTCTTGTCTGCCAACTCCATGACCTCCCCCCGGCCATGCTGGCTGCCCAGCTCCAGTCTGCTCCATGAAAAGCTATTTCAACCTCAGAGAGGCTGTTCTTATCAACTCACCAGGGAAGTAAAGGCCTCTGAAGCCCAGTGAAGAAAAAGAACGAGAGCAGATGCCTAACAGGCCCCTGATCAGCAGCTGGGAGCTGCAGTGCCCGCACACTGGGGCGTTTGTTCTGAAGACATCAGAGTCTGATTGGCTTCGTGGGGCTTGAGATCATGGGGCCACCTGAGCAGTGGCAGCCAGTGCCGGCCCTGCCCATGAGAGAAATCGGAGAGAGAAACTGAACCCCTTTCTCAAGAATTCTTCAACTCCTAACCCAAGGGAGGGTGGTTGAGGGTTTCTTGGTTTGTTTTGGGTTTTTTTTTTTTTTTTCTGTTTTTTTCATTAAAAACAGAAACCTCAGGTACAGGCGATCATACTCAGATTTACTACAAAATATTCCTCCAACCTCTCCCCGGACCCTGCACTTCATACCCCCTGCGATTAGATGCGTAGTCCCTACCGTGTATCAGGTAAGATGGGTGCAAGACCATGAGGGGGTGGTGCCGGAGCAAACGGTCAGGGGAACGAATGGCCCATCTGTATGGAGTTTACAGAGGTGTGGACAGGAATTAGGGGACAAGGAATGGGGAAGCACCAGGGCAGTTAACAGTAGGGGGTCATGAGCCCTGCTATCCCTGGAGGGATAGAAAGAGTGTGTTTGCAAGACCTGGAGAGAGCCATGGAGAGCTCTCGGGCCAGAGAACCCGGGTACAACACACCCAACCTCTCTCTCCTTGCCCTGTCTTCCTGCTTTGCCCTCCCACTGGCCAAGCTCAACCAGAAGCCAGAGGGTAAGGGAGCCTCACTGATGCAGCCATTGAGGTCAGCTTCCTGGGGCACAGGGCAGCGTAAAGAAGGGCAAAAGGCTGTTCTGGGGGAACAGACAGAAATAACGAGCACAACCAACCCGCGTTCCACTGGCCTTTATTCAAATGGAGCTCCACATTCCCCTTCTATCTCCTCCACCAGAGCCAGATGCAGGCTGGCCAGCCCATAAGAAAGGGTGCTCAGGCAGCCCATTAAAACTGAAGAAACTCACACCCATGCATGACCAGCCCCCAGGAGATGATGGTGGGAAGGAGAAACAGTATCTAAAGTCCCTTGAAAGACAAGGTCTTTGGGATTTTCTTACCAAAAAAGGCAAGCAGAGGATCCACCTCCATCAAGAAGTACTACCCCCAAATCAACCACCTCTGAAACTCATTCACCCACTTATTCATTCAACAAATATTTACTGAGCACCTGCTATGTGATGACCACCGTGTTAGAACTAGGTACATAGTAGGTGAACCAAATAGCGACCAACCCGGCCTTTAGATGGTTGACAATCTAAAGAGACAGAATTGGGAGATTGGGATGGACATATATACACTAATATGTATAAAATGGATAGCTAATAAGAACCTGCTGTATAAAAAATAAATTAAATAAAATTTTTTTTAAAATAGACATTAAATGCTAAGTACAAAATAAATATGCACTTACAAAATGTCATAAGTGCTACAGAGAAAAGCAACAGGGTGAAATGTGAAGAAAGAATACAGTGTGTGTGGGGGGGTGTCTACTTTAGATCAGGGGTCAAGGAAGGGCTGTGTGGTGAAGTTACATCACACAGAAAAATAGCCAACTGTCTGCTTTGGTGAGTCCAGGGTGTGCAGCTCCAGAGCCTGCTCCAATGACATATTAGTCTTTCTCCCAAGTCACAAAAGGCTTCCAAATGACGAATCTAAAACAATTAAAATAGGTTGCCTCATGTCCTGTCCTCAGCCAAAAGAGAACAGCTGTTCACCATCCCTCAGATTTATAATCATCATATATATACTTTTATTCATGAAGTTCATATTTTAGTATCCCCCTTAGCCTTCTCAACACTAAATAAATCCTATTTCCAGAATTGCACAGCATGTCAGAGCTGAAAAGCCCTTACAAAGCATCTGCTTTAATCATCTCTTTTTCTTTGTCTTATTTATTTCTTTTTTTATTTTGGCCTCACCCTGCAGCATGTGGGATCTTAGTTCCCCAGCCAGGGATCGAACCCTTGCCCCCTGCATTGGGAACATGGAGTCTTAACCACTGGACCACCAGGGAAGTCCTATCATCTCATTTTATAAATGAGTCACCTGAGGCTCAGAAAAGTTAAGTAACTTCACCAAAAGCCACACAGCAGGACAAGAATGCAGCCAAAGGATCTTTCCTAGACGCGGTTGAGATCGTGACAAGAGCCCCACTCATTGTATTCTTATTAGAAGTTTGCAGGCTCAGGCTGAGTCCCAACAAGCACTGATATGTTTGTGTACATGCGGAGTGCCTGGCACATAGTAAACATTCAAAATGTGTCAGCTGTTATTGCTATGTATCACTTAATCCCCACCGCCACCCAAGTGGTGAGCACAGTTATCATCCCATTTCACAGATGAGGATGCTGCAGCTTAGGGAGGCTTAAACTTGCTCAGTGTCAGACACCTGGTAAGGGGCAAAGTCCAGCCTTGATCCCAACCCGCCTCAGAACCCATTCACCTAATCTCTACGCTATATGGACTTCACCTTGCCTCGATCTGGTCCTTCCCTGAAAAGTCGTTTCCCAAACCTTTGTGCATGTTCACTGCCCTCCTAGACCACCTCCACAGTTTTCATATTTCGAGATAAAAGGCAGACCTTTGCTGAGGCTGAGGGCAGGTCTGTGTCAAGGTCCTGGGCTCTGTTCTATGCGAACATCCCCATGGGGTGTTCACTCCGCACAACGGTACTGAGCTGTCCATCACTGGTAAACTCCCTCATGCTGCTCGCCCTACTGCTTCTTCTTCCTCCCCTGCTAACCATTCCTCCATCCTGCTTTCCCATCATTCAGTCTACCCTGTTGGTCCTCTGGTCCTCTGATCCCCTGAGATGGGCACAGGATCGGTAGCACGAGGGGGAAGAGAAGCAAAATGGAAAGAGTGAAATGGGCTCTCCTACACTCGAAGAGCTAGAAGGGACCCCCAACAGCATCTGGAGTCCAATCACTTAACGAGGAAAGTAGAGCACAGAAAGACACAGAGACTTTCCCAGGGTCACAGAGAAATTTAGTGGCATTATCCTTGCCTAATTACCAAAATATTTAATTGGCTCACAGAAGTTCTGCTTTCAGAAACGCCTGGAGTCAAACCCTGGCCTTGCCATGTATTAGCCAAGGGACCACGGGCTGGTTACCTAAACCTCTAAGTCTGTTTCCTTATATGTTAAATGGGGATGATCGTAGTATCTATTTCATAGTGTTGGTGTGAGAATTAAACATGGTAATACACTGCTTAAAGAAACTCTGAAAAGATTCCCACAAAAACTAGTGTGAGAAACAGAGTGGAAAAGGAGGCTTACCAATTTTGGCTTTGCTTTTTTTCAATTCAAAACAAGATTCAAAATTAGATCATATAGTAAAGAGCCCGGGATGTTCTAAGTGTCCTAAAAATGTTACATGCTATTATTATCAAAGTTTGAATGATTCTGATTTAATGGCACAGCAATGCTGTCCAATAGAAATATAATGCAAGCCATTCATGTAATTTTAAACTTTTTAGTAGCCACATTAATAAAAGTGAAGAGCAACAGGCACAATTAATCTTAATATATATTTTATCTAACCCAACATATCCAAAACATTATCACTTCAATGTGTAATCAATATTTTTAAATTATTGAGATATTTTACATTATTTTATTCACATTAAGTCTTTGAAATCTAGTGAGTATTTTACACTTACAGTGCATCTCAATTCAGATTAGCTGCATTTCAAGTATTCCATGGCCACATGTGGCTGGTGGCTACCATATTAAACACTACAGGTTTACAGAATTAAAAGGAACATTTGCTACGATTTTGCTTCTAAAAAATGGAAGGACGTTAAATATGCTCTTAGTTTTGTCTACTTGATACCCGGCTGAGCACCATTCCAGAACAACATTCTAGCCGACCCCTGGCAAACCCTGGTTTCAAAGCACTATGGGTAAAGCCTGCAAGGTCAGAGTGACAGGCTAACCAGTGCCCTCCTAACAAAGCAGCAGAGGGTACATTCTCTGGCTCCAGACCACAGGAGGTCCCAGAGGGAAGGAAAAATAAGGTAACAGGTCCAAGCTCTTGCACAATGCACGTCCTAGACACGCTCCCTATGGAGCCCTTAGGGATTTCATTGATTCGTTTTTATTCTAATACAGCTCATCTGGATATAAGATTTAATAATTCTTTAAAAGCGTATTCATTTTGACCCTTGCACAAATTTGGGGACCGCATAACCTGACAGGAGCCATCAAACACTTAACATTAAAAGAAAATGGTCTAAAACACACACACCTAATTCATCTTTAAATTAGCCTGATTTTATACACATGGATACAAACCCACGGATCGGTACTCTCTCCGGAGCGGCAGCAGCTGTCA